CAGTAGTGTGAATATAGTGGTATGAATATAAACAACAGTGTGAATATAGACAGTAGTATGAATTTAAACAGTAGTGTGAATATAAACAGTTGTATTAATATAAACAGTAGTGCAAATTGAATGAGCACATGAGCGTGTGTTGAGTATATAACCCGTTTTTAATGATGCAGAGTTCAGTGTTAAAAGTTTTTGTGTTGTGTGGAAATGTGTGAAAGTTTTGTGTGTTAAGGCGGTATAAGAGGGAGGGGAGGCAGAGCATGCAGAGTTCAGCATCCTGACTGCCTGATGAACAGAGCTGTCTATCAGTCTGCTAGTTCGAGCCTGGATACTCCGCAGTCTCCTCCCTGATGGCAGCAGGCTGAAGAAGCTGTGTAGTGGGTGTGTGCAGAGGGTTTTCCGAGTGAGGCGGGTACTACGTAGGTCATGTAGTGAGGGGAAGGAGGTGCCAACGATCTTCTCTGCTGCTCTCACGATGCGTTGGAGTGTCTTGCGGCAGGATGTAGTACATGCACCGAACCACACCGTGATGCAGCTTGTCAGGGCACTCTCTATGGCACCCCTGTAGAAGGTGCTTATGATGGGGGTTGGAGCTCCAGCTCTTTTCAGCCTGCGGAGAAAGTAGAGGCGCTGGTGAGCCTTCTTGGCCAGTGATGCAGTGTTCCTGCTCCAGGACAGGTCCTCTGAAACGTGCACTCCCAGAAACTTGGTGCTGCTCACTCTCTCCACAGTAGTACCATTGATGGTCAGAGGAGCATGCTGGGCGTGCATCTTCCTGAAGTCCACAACAATCTCCTTTGTCTTATCCACGTTCAGAGAGAGATTGTTGTGTCTGCACTACAAGGCCAGGTGGCTCACTTCGTTCCTGTAGTCTGTCTCATCATTGTTGCTGATGAGACCCACCACAGTCGTATCATCCGCAAACTTGACAAAGTAGTTGGAGCTGTATGATGGTGTGCAGTCGTGTGTCAGCAGGGTGAATAGAAGGGGGCTCAGCACGCATCCTTGGGGGGCCCCTGTATTCAGTGTGATGGTGCTGGATGTGTTACTGCCGACCCGTACTGCCTGTGGTCTCCCAGTCAGGAAGTTTAGCATCCAGTTACACAATGAGGTGTTCAGCCCCAGACTGTCCAGTTTAAGGATGAGCTGTTGGGGACTGATGGTGTTGAATGTTGAGCTGAAGTCAATGAACAGCATTCTAACATAAGAGTCCTTAGTGTCCAGATGTGTGAGGGCTGTGTGGAGGGCAGAGGAGATGGCGTCGTCGGTCGAACGATCAACACCGACTCAAAAATTTGGGGCCGATGACCTATATTTGGAAACTACTGATATACTAAGTAGTATTCATCTTTCTTTCATTTTAACATAAATCTCTTTAGTTTTGTTAAGATTACTGAACCAATCAAAGGAACCTTCTAAATATTTGAGTTGGGTCATTTTCTTTTGTCGTTTTTGCTCTAAAGGAACTGGTTGCTGAGAAAGTTCAGGGATCTGATCTGAATGTCACATCCAGGTCAAAACACTCTTGTACTGTAAACAGTAGCTTCTTAAACTGAAAAAAATGTTTTTGAAGAAGCTTACATTTACCAAAATAGAAAATAAAGCAACGTGCTGCTGGTGCAGCCAAGATTTCACTAAACGTTTTACAGAGTTTATACAGCTATGTTTAAAATAGCACAAACACAAAATAAAAGCATAAATTGCCACCTCTGCCTATTAAATGTATTACTGATGAGTAAATTCTGCTGTTGCATATCTACTGTGGTGAAAATAAGCATTTGATACACTGATGATTTACTAAATTTTCCCACCTACAAAGAATGGAGAGGTCTGTAATTTTTATTGTTGGTACACTTCAGCTGTGACAGACAGGATCTAAGAAAATAATCCAGAAAAATCACATTGTATGATTTTCATAATTCGTTTGCATTTTATTGTATGAAACAAGTATCTGATACAGTACGAGAGAAAAACAGAACTTAATATTTGGTACAGAAACCTTTGTTTGCAGTTACAGAGGTCAGATGTTCCTGTAGTTCTTGACCAGGTTTCCACACACAGCAGAGATTTTGGCCCACTCCTCCACACAGATCTCCAGATCTTTCAAGTTTTGGGGTTGTCACTGGGCAACATTGAGTTTCAGGTCCCTCCTGGTTAGACCACTCCAGGACCTTGAAATGTTTCTTACGGAGCCAATACTGAATTGTCCTGGCTGTGTTTCAGGTCACTGTCCCAGCCACAACCCATCTTCGGTGCTCTTACTGAGGGAAGAAGGTTGTTGGTTAAAATCTCATGAAACAACGATACATGATCCCACCCATCCTCCCTTCAATACTGTGCCGTCATCTTGTCCCCCTTGCAGAAAAGCACCCCCCAAAAAAATGGTGTTTCCACCCCTGTGCGTCACAGTTGGGATGGTGTTTTCATCCTTCTTCCTTCAAACATGGCAAGTGGAGTTGATACCAAAAAAACTCCATTTTGGTCTCATTTGACCACATGAACTTCTTTCATGCCTCCTCTGGAACATCCAGAGGTCATCGGTGAACTTCAAACAAGCCTGGACATGTTCTGGCGGGAGCAGTGGGACTTTGTGTGCCCTGCAGGATCTTAAATCATGACAGTGTTACTAATGGTCCTCTTTGAGACTGTGGCCCCAGCTCTCTTCAGGTCAATGACCAGGTCCTCCCGTGTAGTTCTGGGCTGATTCCTGACCTTTCTCAGAATCATTCTAACTCCACGAGGTGAGATTTGCATGGAGTCCCTGACTGAGGAAGGTTGAGAGTCATCTTGTGTTTCTTCCATTTTCTAATAATTGCACCAACAGTTGTTGTCTTCTCACCAGGCTGCTGGCCTCTTGTCCTGTAGACCATCCCAGCCTTGTGCAGGTCTACAGTTTTGTCCCAGGTGTCCTTAGACAGCTCTTTGGTCTTGGTCATGGTGGAGATGTTGGAGTGTGATTGAGTGTGGACAGGTGTCTTTTATAGAGGTAACAAGTTCAAACTGTTGCAATTAATTGAGGTAATGAGTGCAGGATAGGAGAGCGTCTTAAAGAAAAACTAACAGGTCTGTGAGCGACAGAATTCTTACTGGTTGATAGGTGATCGAATACTTATTTCATGCAATAAAATGCAAATGAATTATTTAAAAATCATACAATGTGATTTTCTGTATTTTATTCTTAGATTCTATCTCACAGTTGAAGTGTACCTACAATAAAAATTACAGACATCTCCATACTTTATAGGTGGGAGAACTTGCAAAATTGACCGAGTATCAAATACAAAGTACTTATTGTTCCCACTGTACTTGATAATCTGATTTGTGCTATGTTTCCTGAAACACTGTGTGTTGAGTATACATCAAAGGACCGAGTACACATACTTGAGATGTCTTGGTCTTCAGTTTGATGAAGTGTGACAGTCTGACATAGATTAAGTCAAATTTATTTGTACTTTTATGTTAAAGCAAAAAAAAAAAATCATGAAGATAACTGGGATAACTTGAAACTGACCAAGGTAATAAGAAACAAAACATTAAAAGTCAACTAAAGAAAATCATTCATATATTTTTTAGTTTTGGTTAAACAGAACTATTTAAAAAACAAACTGATGAAACGTATCTTGACAAAATAGATGGGACCATCAACTTAATAACTTGCTACACAATGTTTTGAGACAATCACCACAATCAAGTGATTTCAGTAGGTCTCTCTGAGACTTGGTATTCTGGTCCACTCCTCCTCAGCAGTCTTCTGCAGCTGTCTCAGGGTTGAAGTGTGCTGCCTCTACACTGCATGTCTCAGCTCTTTCCACAGATGTTCATTGTAATTTAAATCAGGAATCAGAAGGCCACTTCTGAAAACGTCAAAGTTTATTCTAAGCAATCCTTGGATGATTTTTAGCTGTGCTTTGCATTTATTATTTGCTTTCAACAGTGCTGCCCTCAGTTGTCTTGTTTGGCTCCAATAAGGCTCCGGTGTGATCTGACAATAATATGCATTGTTCTTCGAGTTCACCTCTACCCGCTTTGGAGGTTCTTCTGGCCTCTTTCTAAACATGTCAGGACAGGGTGTACACGGCCATGTTTCTCTAGCCATTTTAGGCAGATAGCTGCCCATCCTGAGCCTGGTTCTTCTGGACATTTCTTCCTGTTAACAGGAAGTCGTTCCTTCCACTGTTGTTAAAATGCTGCTTACGATGAGAGACTGCAGATTGAGATTTGACGCAGACTGTTGACTTGATTAAATATACAACTTACTAATAGGCATTTTATAATGCACTAAATGTGAATGTTTTTGTACAGGGCCCTGAGATGACTTTGCTGGGAGGTGTTGCTATATAAATAAACTGAATTGAATTATGGTGACTCAGCAATTTTGTGGTGGTTGAAAATGCAGCATTCATTTTTCAGTCATTTTCTACAAACTCAGTTCGAGGTGCAGTAAAAGTAGTGCACCGAAGTTGTACACTACATCAGTGAAGAGAAAAATAACATGCAGCCATGACACATCCCACCCCTGGAGAGAGGGACAAAATATCAAATTGCTACTAATTTTTATGAAAAAGAATATGTGAGATCTATAAATAATAAATACATGATCAATTTTATCACTGGGGATATTAAAGTTTTATCTTGAACTTGAATTAGTAGTTTATTATTTTGCTGTTTTTATATGCAAATGCAAGTGTATACGTGTATAGGTAGGGGGGGACGGGGGGTCTTTTCTGTTGGTATAAGAAGGTGCACTCTAAAGAACAAGATTGGCACTCACAGGTTTATCTAACAAATGAAAATTCAAAAGTTTGTCATAAACCTGAGGACTGTACCTGGATGTTCCCCATCACCCCGGTCGACTCCATGCGACTGGCTACGTTCACAGTGTTGCCCCAAATGTCAAAGTGAGGTTTTCGTGCACCGATGACTCCTGCTAACACCCCTCCTTTATTGAGGCCTGCAGGAAGGTTACAACACACAAGAGATTACGATTGTGATCTTGTTTGACTTAATGTTAGCCTTAAAAATAACTTCATTATTTGTTTGTCATCAGTATTGCAAGAAGTCCTGAGCCGCCTGCTGTTTTTATTTAGTTTACTTCAGTGAAGCCATACATCCCTGAATTCTTTTTTTAAATGAAAATGCATGTCAGTAAAATATTTTACAAATGTAATAAAATAAATGACTAAAAATTCTAGTAAATTAAGCAGTATCGTGATGACTTCAGGTCTCTCTTGTAAATGAGTCCCCGAGCCTCAGTGGGATTAACCTGTATAAAGGTTGAATGAAAAACTAATTTACTACAAGACAAAAGATTTTGAAGCTCAATCATCTGGGTAGATTCTAAAAAATTAAATCTGGTCCTCTGGACATTCAAAAAAAAAAAAAAAAAAAGAAATATTTCGTCTTTCATCCGAGAGACTTCTTCAGTCTGAGGTGCTGTATTCAGCTCAGTCTTATAAATAGCACCTTCTCAGAGTGGATCAACCAGTTTGCTGCTGACAGCCAAAACCAGCTGCTCACATGATCAAGAAGGACCATCAGCCTAATGATGGATCATTAGCACACTGATGGCTGTTTACTATTCACAGAGGGTTGAGTGATACTAGCAATCACAGCATTGTAAGAGGGGGAAAGTTGAACCCGGAGGCCTCCACCCCTGTTTAATGATGGACGGTTTCTTTTCACAAAGATGGCCTCCTTTACTCCTCTCTCAAGCCATTGTTCCTCTCTATCAAGGATGTGAACATCTTCATCCCTGAAAGAGTAACCGATGGCCTGGAGATGAGTGCAGACCGCAGAATCCTGGCCTGATGATGTTGATCTTCTGTGCTGGGCCATCCTTTTGGCCAGTGGCTGTTTAGTTTCCCCGATGTAAGACTGATCACAGCCCTCCTGACACTGAACAGCATACACAATATTACTCTGTTTGAGCTGAGGCACTGGATCTTTGGGATGAACCAGTCTTTGCCGTAATGTATTTTGGGGTTTAAAAGCCACTGGGACATTATGTTTAGAAAACAAACGTCTCAGTTTCCCTGATACTCCCGCAACATATGGAATGACCACTGCTCTGGGTCTGGGTTCCTCCTTTTCATCTGATGTTTGGCTGGAGTCCTGTTTGGGTTTCTTCTCTGCTTTCAGGAAGGCCCAGTTGGAATATCCACATTGCTCTAGAGCCTGTCTTGTGTAAGATTTCTCCTTCTGCCTGGCTCCTGAGTTAGTGGGGACGCTATCTGCTCTGTGGTACAGAGTCCTGATGACTCCTAACTTGTGCTCCAAAGGGTGATGGGAGTCAAACTGCAAATACTGGTCTGTGTGGGTGGGTTTGCGGCACACCTCAGTTTGCAAATGTCCTCTATCAGAAACTGAGATCTCACAGTCCAAGAAAGCTAGCCTGCCATTTTGTACATCTTCTCGTGTGAACTTGATGTATTTATCCACAGAGTTGATGTGGTCAGTAAAATGTTGGACTTCCCAAGATTTAATTTTAACGCTTTTTTCTTTTCTTTTCTTTTTCAATGTCCAGAGGACCAGACTTAACTTTTTTTAGATTTTGCTACCTAGATTATTGAGCATACATCAGGATATCCAGGTAGATTAATCACCTGAAAGGGTTAAATCAGGTCATCTGGACATGGGGGATGGGGGTGGAGGAGGGGGTCCCTTCATCAGTCTGAGCCAACCAGAACTGACTTGTTCTGGAAATTCCACAGGGCTGGTTTGAAACACATCAAGGAGGTGCTGTTCATAAGACAGATCTTGGTGGCAGGTCTCAGACTGATGACGTCTTTCAGATGAAAGATGAAACATTTCTCCCAGAAAGAAACAGATGACCTGATTTAACCTTTTTTTGGTGATAAAAGGTTTAAACATTTCTGCTACTGCTGGATAGCCCAATGTGAAGGATGTTTGTTAGCATGCTGTATGGTTTAAATAGTTTACTGTAACTTCAGTACAAGTCAGACAGTAAAAAACAGCCAAGTAAAGCAGCTTAATAAAGAAAAAGGTCTGTAGGCTCAATCATCCAGGTAGATAACAAAATAAGGGTAAACAGGTTCAGATTAAATAATTTAACCATTAATTTCTTAATAAAGAAGAACCTGTGTACAAGAAACACGTTCTGCTGAGGATGCACTGCAGATGACTCATGAGGCCAGCAGGTGGCGCAGTTCATGCTTTTCTACGCTACTGGAGATTGTTGACCAGCAGATACCATATATAATTGTTTTTGACTGACAAATCAGTTATTGAGCACTTAAGCAATTAAAATGTGTAAATTCAACATGAGTCAGAGGGGTCGGTCTGAAGGGACTGAACATTGTTCCGAGGCCAGGCAAACAGAGGTTTGCTCCAATTTCCATGTTAGCTCTCTAACTGAATCCAAATTGGTAGAGGGGTGGGGGGGGGGG